TAAAAACTTTACCCTTTAACTATAACAAAATAGTTCTAGAAAAGCTTACTTATTTTTGTAACTGCGAATTAAGCCGAGTGCTCTCTCCGAATATATCCAAAATCCTTCCGGAGAACGCCGTGTGAAATCCGGTATCTGAAAGGGAGAGCATTCATGAGACAGTGAGACAAAAAACAAAACTTGCTCTGGCATTTTGCTACTTCGATAACAGATTAGATTACTGTTTCAGTCCAAATGCAAGTGTAAGCGAGATATAAAGGTAAAACAGACGATCTGCTCCCTTTTCGAGAATTTCAACTCCAGTCCAATATTGACTTTGTTCACCGGACGATTTCTGGAAGAATCTGCGGACGGTTCATCCAACGAAACGAATACGCAACCAGTAATTCGGCTCACAACATCAGCACTAACTGCAGTGTTCAGCAAATTTTGACTGAATAGTGGATAACAGTGACATTACTCAGTGGGTGCTCATTTCATAAGAGATTAGTTATTGGTCTGGAATTGATAAAATGGGAGTGTAAGGAGCCCGAAACAACAGCAAACACGGTCACAGCTTTGAAAGCACATTGGGGGAGGAGGGAAGGGGAACCTATGAGTCCTCTACAAATATGCAACGCAGATGATGTGGAATTACTGTAAAATATTCGGAGTAAGCAGAATGTGTTTGAAAATATCCGACGATCTCCCAGCCATCCCAAAAGACTGCCAAAACTGATTTGCCAGTTGCAAAACTAGTCTGAAGCTGATAATTTTTTGCCCATTCGATGGCAGGCCTGAAAAGGCAACTGAAACTTACTGTGTAAAAATCTTGCTATATCATGGGCACTGTACCATTTCAGTGCATAGTTATCATAATTAACCAAGATGTCGTAGAAGCTCGCATCAGCGGTTGACGGAAGTTTACATGAAACAGTCAGTGTGCCTGCAAATTCAGCGAATGGCATAAAAACTAATGATTTAACATAACTGTTACAATAAAATAGCACATTTTTAATTACGCTGTAGACATCAACTCCACAAATTAAAAATATAAAGAAACCTTTGGTCTCTAAATCGTTCTGCGTGATTGTCGCAGCGAAGCCATAATACTTGCTTTCTGCGGAGGAGATAAAAACGTTAGCATTGAGTGGGAATGCATCTAGCACCGAACAAGAATCATCCGAGTCCTCCAGAACATCCTGCAACGATTCAGCTCAAAATACAAAGAAAAACTAGCACTCACTTCCATCTAAGCAGTGCAAAAAACAAGAATAATTGCAATTCAGGGAATGCTGTAATTAAACACTAGAAAATTTTTCTTTGTCTCATACTGAAATCCCAACTTAGCGAACTGACTTCTAGTTTCAAAATGATGGCTACACATATTTTGCCCACCTAATTCCTCCCTCATTTAAAACGGCTACGTGCTTTAACAAAACCCACAACAGCTGGAGGTTTTAATGGTAAACATGACGTCGACTACGAAAAATATATTTGGGGCGCTTCATCATCTGCACAAAGTCTCTTTAAAGTTTCAATTCTCAGCGAAACACTTCCAAATGCGCTTGGGAAAATTTTCGGAGAATGTCATTTTGCTTCACTCCTCTGCCACTTCTTATTTTTATCAGCTAACTAAACACAGTAATTTAGTCTGTGTTCGGCCGAAGAATGAGTTCCTGATAATTCAGAACTAAAATACATTCATTCTTTGATCGCGATACAACGTTTTGCTTCAATAGCCTTCTCAGAATTGACGAGAGGCAAACGCAAACGTTCGCACGCTCATGAAAAGTCGGAAATACTTGTGTAAAAGTTTCTGTCAAATAATGAAGACTGGCATAAAAAACTGAAAATTGCTGGCTTATTTGAATCCCACCTTTGAGGTAACTGCTGTATTTGACGACTGGCACTAAGGCCAATCTGAGGCATATAAAAGCACAAATTCTTAATCATAAGCAATTTTCTGACTATATCTACACAGGTAAAAAAGGAAACCGAGAAAACAGGACAATCAGCGTTATCCCAGTGACTGTGCATCCAACTTGTCGTTTTCGGCCTCACGATTCCTGCACCGTTAAATTAGGCACGAACAGGGAAAAAGAAAGAGGCAAGGAGTTTGACCACGATTCGTATCCTGTTCTGTAGCAAAAAGGAAAGACAAGAAGTGATACATCAAACACTTCACAGCTATTACTCGTTGAAATAAGACTAACAGCTTTAGTTTGCGGGGAATAAAGAGTGAAGGCATAAAACATCCTCACTTGTACAAGAAGAGGAAGCGATACTGGAATCAATCCAGTAGACTCTGTATAATAACGCTTAGTGCGCATGCAATTGTCCTCAAAAAACCGGCGTGAACCTCGTGCAACCCGAACCAAAGCATGGCACTGGTTCTCAGCAACTTCGACACCCCTTCTTTCATACTCGCTGCAAAAATAGTAACATGGGCTAAATCAAACAATGCACATAGAGGGATGATTATCACTTAGTCATGGCTTCGTTGTCCGCAAAAACTAAATTTTTTTGTGTTAAAGCGCTGTAACTTTATAGAAACAAAATAATTGGCCAACGCACGGGCTACCCGTGCGAAGATGCGTTTTTTGCAGAGTTCCCCGCAGATTTTTATCAATAACGGCACTATTCTTTTCTGACAGATGCTTCTGGCTTTTTAGAATTTCAGACTGGTCGCCAGGATTGTCAGGAAACATTCCTTCAAAATCTCAGTCCTTTAATTTCTCAGGTTCCCGAGTTATCAGCTCATTCGAAGAAAACTTTCACGGGCCTGTACGTGGAAACTACGCATACCCGGTGTCCGGGTTTGAACTCATTGGGACTTACGCGGACAGAGAATATCTTCTTAAAATTACAGCCTTCTAGCTTTTCGGATCCCCGAGTTAGCAACTTGCCCGAAAAAACTTTGGCAGGCCCGTGGGTGGGAAACACGCATACTCGAAGGCTGGGTTTGAGTTTGCTGAGACTTACGAGGGACATCCCCTTAAAATTTCAGATTTCTAGCTTTTCTGATTCCCGAGTTAGCGACTTACCTGCAAAAAACTTTCACGGGCCCGTGTGTGGGTGTCACGCGGATAAGACCGCTCATTTTGGGGATGAGGATTCGTACATGCATGTAAATTAAGCTTTCAAAGTTTCAGCCCTGCAGCTTTTGTAGGTCTCGAGATGAAAAATCGGTACAGACTCCCAGCGCACACAGACAACCTCTCATCAATATGCGTTTTCTGCATTGCATAGCTGCAAAAAACGCACAAAAACTTATGCGTATAAGAACAGGGTGCAGTTCAATCTCGGTTAAGGCAACCACTTACACCAAACAACGGAGTCCGTTGTTTCTTTTTATCCAAAATGGTCTTGCAGTAACA